TTCTGATGATGCATTCCTCAGAATACATTCCCATCATTAAGGGAGACACGACTATTTATAAACAAATAACTGCTTCCTTTAAATAATTCATGTATTCATCATATTACAAACCAGTGACACAGTATGTCTATATGACAGACCAAAAACATAATATAATGAACAGGTGAAACATTTAGGCAAGCCCATCACAGCAAAGCTATTTTCAAATATTATCTATTATCTAACATTTACATTCACATTTTTAAAAAGTCAGCTACTTAGTATATTTCTTCATAATTAGTGTACTGTTAACTGGTGTCCTTCAGTCCTTATTTTGCAGTAACTTCACCTGGCAGCCTCTTAAACTCCTGACAGGAACTAGAGGTCAGCTACTTCTCACTGACATTTTTTCCTTACAACTTATTTGAGGAGAGAGACCTCATCTCTACAATAAATCAAAAATGAGCCGGGCGTGGAAGCGCACACCTGTAGTTCCAGCTCCTTGGAAGGCTGAGGCAGAAGGATAGCCGGAGCCCAGCAGGTCGAGGCTGCGGTGGCCGGGAGTGGCCACTGCACTCCAGTCTGAGCCACAGAGTGAGACTCCAACTCGGAAAAAAAATAAATAAATAAAATAAACCAAAGTATTGTTTTCATTATAATCAGCTTCTTATCCACAATAGTCTAAACTATGGTTTCCTTATCGGGTCTTTCAAAATCCTATAATCATTCACAAGTTCTAGGTCAGAATGTTGTCTCTCTGCCATATAACTGGTTATATTATCTCATTTATCATTTCTTAAAAACAATAAATATTGCACAAAATGGTCATTTTTTCATAAGACCATGTCTATGTATTTGTGAAAACAGAACAAGGACTAAAGCTTATTTGTTCATCACAGACAGTTCCTGTATTGTCATTCAAAGAATGGTTCCAGAAGGCAGCTTCTTTGAGAATCTAATCTTGATGGCCCAGATTCTGCAGTTTCTTTATTCTGCAGGAGCTGCTGTGGAAAGGATGACTTTAAGGAAGTCTCCCTGCTCTAGGAAATAGAGCTCCACTTCAGTTGGGAAGAAAACAGGGAGAACAAGGCAGGACAGAAAATGGTGTGGGCTACTAGGTACTGCTTCTTTGCTCCATGAAAAGGATGAATGAGTCCCTATGAGGGGGTTGAGGTTTTTGTTGGGGAATTTGGGACAGAGAGTGTAAAAAGGTTGGGTCTCAGCAATAGTCAGCTGTGAAATACTTAAAAATGTAAAGGCAGGCAATATCCTCTTTTCAGGCTTACGATAAATTCTAGAATGAGAATGCCCACAAAATAGAAAGAGTGTGGCGATGAATATCCAAACAAGACAACACTCTCACAAAGATATGTAGGCATGATGTTAAATTACAGTTTGTGTGAGCATAGCTTGAGAAAACGCTCCAAGGCAAGTGACTGGAGTTACATATGACTAACTCCCTTTTAAGAAAACCAAGAGTCAGCCGGGCTTGGTGGCTCAGCCTATAATCCCGTCCCTTTGGGAGGCTGAGGTGAGTGGATTGCCTGAGCCCGCGGGTTCGAGAC